AGTGCCTGGGGTAAGGTCAGGCTTAGCCTTGTCGCTGTCTCTTATACACATCTAGATGTGTATAAGAGACAGTCTCTGTATCGTTCCAATTTTAACAGATGTACCGAAGGACGCCATTACCAGCATTCTACTGTTTTGTTCACCAAAAAAAATCCCAACACACCGGAGTCATGCTGCAGACATTTGAGATTAGGGGCCTCGACAGAGGCGACACACCACTGTCGAAACGAAAAACGAACAAATGCATCTTCCCGCGGAGAAGGCAAGATGCATCCGTTACTATGAATAGCAATGGATGCATCTTACAACTTTCTGCGGCAGATGCATTCGTTCTCCTTTCGTTTCGACAGCGACAGTAATGTGGCAGCCCTAGGAATTGGCAAAACAGTGGACATCGAGGTCGGCAAACGAGTTTTAACTTTTAAATGACTTAGTTGCTGATTGGATTCTTCTGGAAAGCCAAACTCACATTAGATCTGTCACGCCAGAAGTCGCGAGTTCAAATCCCATTTCTCCCAGGAGTTATGTGAGTGGCTGAAGGCATTGATTATACCATACAGCAACATCCATGCAACAAACTGGGCTGAGCTGGCCGAGATTGGTTACCAGAAAGAGCTCGCTATATGCAAGTAAATCGACAATTGAATCAATGAGAAAAGGTGCTGTTTTTGGTGGTGTATGTAGAGCCGAAAAGTCGAAGACGCTCGCGTTATTTGCTTCATAAATGGTGACTGGGAAGGGTTGCACACCCGCCGTCCGCCGGCCGCCCACCGTTTTGCAGCTGACCAGTAGGGCCGACCAGTCAGGAAACAGCCATCCAATGTTTGTTTTTCAAATCTGAGTTGCTGTACTACGCTTGCTGAGTACGGCCCAAATTCGCTGAGTATGGGGGGTTATAGGGGTGGTATAGGAGGTATTCGGTGGGGGGGGGGATGAGGGTGTTGGGGGGTGGTTTGGGGGTGTTGAGGGGCGACTATGGGGGTGTCGGTGCGGTTATTGGGGGTTATGGACTCCGAGGGGGGGAAAAAAATATAAAATTGCGGGGTGCCGACGACCCCCAACTGGTAGGTGCCAACCAGCCGCCCGGTCGGTTTGTCGGCAGCCGACCAGTCAAGGGGCGCCGACCGTTGGGGTATGCAACACTGTGGCTGGGTATATAGTATAGACTAGGCTACCAGCCAGGTGGCCCGGCCGTGAATGGACCAGGGAAGGTCCCAGCAAAACGAAAAAAAAAAAAAAACAAAAACAAAAAAAAAAACAAAAACAAAAACGAAAACGAAAAACAGAAAAAAACTATGTTATGCAGCACCTTTTTTTTTTTTTTTTTTGGCCCGGCCGGGCAAGKGGTTCCAGACCACTCCGGTAGCCCAGGTATATACTATATAGTATATTACCTCTGAGCAAGATCCAGAGCAGGAGTCTGTCTATCATAATCAACCTATGATTACAAAGTTCCAAACCAAACGTGTAGCGTAACCACAAATTACAGCCGTTCTAGAATCTTCTTGGTAGAGGAAACATTGCTACTAACGAAGCGAGGGATTGATAGGGGCCACTACATATGCCATGCTCTCCCAGTCAACCAGTGGCTCAGCAAATGTCAATCTGCCGCGGCCTGAAGGGACTTCAACTGAATATGCGCGCTCTGTGATGCAGGCAGCCCAGAGGACCTGCCGCATTGCCTACTGACCTGCCTCAATGCAGTCCAGCTCTGGACCAGAGCAGCCAACCTTTGGGAAGCTGCTACAGCCACCGCCCCTGCTAGAAAGCCCGGTCGCCACACTCACCAACCTCAAAGGACCAGGGATGCAGGACAAGTGGCAACACACACTCTACCGAAGACTCCGCCCTCTCACATGCTGCAGGCAGACGTTTGCAACACAAACAACGAATCAGGCAGAGGTATGGGAAGGCCTAATCCAGACCTTACTTGCAGAGTATCATTCTGACTGGCGCAGGGCGAGGGAGCAGATCAAAGACGATCCCACCAAGAAACAGGAAATCGTCGACAGATTCTCCAAGGACGAGCTGGGCAGTGGCAAACTGGGAATCACACTGGGTGACACCCCAGGCTTGCTTGGGGTGACCAGTGGGGGCACCAGGGAGATGGCCATCAGAGGGCAACTACTTCATCGGATTCTGCTGAATCAAGAGAGGCCCCAGCCCTGGCCTGACTTCAAACCCGGGCTGAACTGGACAAAACACGTTAGGGTTTAGGGTTTAGACAGCAAGTGGCTCCGGCGTTGTGGCGAAACCTGATGGACCCTCCATGAGATGGGACAGATAGTCCAATTTCTGGGGTTTCCAGGAGAGTCACCACTGCACAGCGACAGACAACTGCCATCAGGGAGGGGGGGGGCCACAGGCGTCAGCCTCCCACGGAAAGAAAGGAAGAACGGGGGCAGACAGTCAGGCTACTAGAGGCAGAGGACAGGGTTTTAGGACAACACCGCAAGCACATAGATGGACATCCCACTGCAAGAGACAGGCAGACTACACCCAGGAGTGAGCGGTCAGGACAGCTGAGGCACAGGAGATAGGTTCAGGGGTACATTAGCAATTACACGGATAGGGGTATGAGGGTGGTATTACGGTGGCAGCAGGACAGGTTGGAGTCTGAGGCGAGCACTGGCTCGCAAGCTCAACCGGGTAATGCTCCCTGGATAACTCCGGATAGAAGGTCCCCGGCCTTGAACTTATCTTGTAATACAATAGCCTCCTTGTTAAAAAAAAAAAAAAGTCAAGATCGGCAAACTCAAGAAAGCAGAATAATCGCCTGCCAAAGGCGAAACCGAAGGAAATGAGAAGTGGAAGAATCCAAAGGGGGGATCAAGACGTCACAGAAGAATACCAACTGTATTGGGAGGGTCTTGCTCAGCGTCATAGCCTTCGGGTATGATACAAAGATAGAAAAAAAACATGATGGAAATGGACCGGAGACGCAGATGGAAAACCACGATGGAAATGGACTGTTGTTCCAAGAGTTTTTAAAGTGGAAGGGGAAGACATGATCGTGTGCACACACAGGGGTGGGGGCGTGGGAGAGAGAGAGAGAGAGAGAGAGAGAGAGAGAGAGAGAGAGAGAGAGAGAGAGAGAGAGAGAGAGAGAGAGAGAGAGAGAGAGAGAGAG